AAAGAAACAAAATAAGCATGTGGACTGCTTAAGACTTGTTGCTGAAATCTTACCACCAGGATGATTTGATTCATAGTTTCCTTGTAGTGACCTATTTTGGTTGTTCGCTATCTTCATAAATTAAACAGGTGTAAAATACGCTAAACGAAATGTTGAAAAAAATTGGTTGGTTTCTCAATCCGTTTTGTTTGTTCGGGCGGTGTAAGAAAAGTCTTTGTCCGAGACAATAAGGAAGCTAAAGCTGCCTTTATGGTATATTGATTAAGCAGCAGTTGTTTACTATCTTTGACTTTATCAAAACTAAGACTTCAAATTTATAAGAAATTATAACTACAAATTGATGATGAAGTTAAACACTTTACTATGATATTTTTGGAAATAGTTACACATAAGAAAAAAAAACAATTCTCGCATCTAGAACACTTCATAATTTTGGAATGCAAGAAGATAACACTGGGAAGTTTTTAATATAATAATCAAAACTTGAGTTGTTAAATCAAATCAAAATTTTTGGTGATAACATACAGATTAGAAGAGAGAAAAATAATACCTAGCTAATTCTATTCTGTATTATTTTTTGCTATTTTAGTCTGATGGTTGTGTCATTCAATTTAGATAAAGACCGCACGGATCGACTTATGTGTGACACTCTATACCAGAAACCAAAACACGGAATACTAACACGAATCAGAGTTGAACACAAATGGTTATAATAAGCACATGTTTATCTCGAGAAGGGTTTTTTCGTCGGATCAATGAAAATAAAAAGTGGGGACTCACATTTTTAACTTCATGCTTTTAGCTTTGGGCTTTCGGAAACGAGGAGGGAAAGCCACCACGTCGCCCAAAACTGTTGCGACAATTACTATAGTCTATAGTCATGTGCGTCAAACATTAAACTGAAAACGTTATGACCAAAATTCATTACTATTTTTTTTTATATAATAGATTGACAACACCATTAATTATCACAATATATGGTTGAATTGGAATCCTCAATTATTTAACGTTATAACGTGCTTCATGCGTTTCCACTCGTTTCTCTATTGCTCTGGTATGGATCTGTCTCTAACAAACTTCATATTTATTTTCATCTGATCAATCGTCTTCCAAGATATATATATATATATATCTACTATATTCTATATATACATAAATGATAGATCATGAATAATATGTGATAGAACAAAAGTTTATCAGGGTGAATTGACAAAGTTCCTGTGTTAATAAGCTGAAAGTTCATTTTGAAAAAACAAAATCTGTATAATCATGTTTATCCTATCATACTTTAATGGTTTTATATACTTTTAAGGCCATATAATCCTACAGAACACATACAACTGAATTTGTCTTTTTTTTAAGCCAACATAATATGCTTTTTTGGTATTGAAATTTGAAAGTCACAATCATAGTGAAAGACTTTTCAGCCAAAATATCTATAACTAAAATTTTGCAGTAAGGGTTACAACACAAAAAAACCAATTTTAAAGTTAGGTTACAAGAACCTAGAACTGTGTTGGTAAGACCGCATAAATTAGAAACACAGGTTCACGAGGTTTACAAAGAAATTAACCACCATCACCAGTACAATTTTGGGGTTTTTTCAAGGCACTCAAAAGACAATGGTATAGACTTATAGTGAACGAGTGGATTCAAGAAACAATAATTAAAAAAAAAACATTTTTATTGTTATTTTTTTATATATGATAAGATTTATTTTTTTAACATTATATAAGTTAATCCTAAGAAGAATACCATGAAAAGAAGCTAGAGCCGTAAAAAACATTTCAATTTTGGTAAGAGATTAAACGTGGTGGGTGTTAAAGTGTAGATGACTTCAATAACCTCTGCATAAAGAATGTAAGAAAAACAGTTACTTTTTATTTACCTAATCTAGACTGAATTTATGTTGGAAAGAATAAATACCAATGTTTATTCTTACCAAATAAGGAAAGGCCAGATTCCTTAAAAACAATCTAGCTCTTCTTGAAAATCTGGAAAATTGTACGGCTGAGATTTGTAGACCAGCTTATCATCAAATCATAATTATTAAATTAGAGAGAGATTTGGAGTGATTGGTGAGTGGTTGAAAATGTGACAATTGACGTAACCCCACTGTCCGTCTGTCTCTCCATTAAGGTTTCTCTCTCTTACCCTCAATACATAAAGATATAGTAGTTGGCTTATTGGACCCATCCTTTATTTGGGCCCCAAAACGTGTAAACATCACACCCTCTCTCTTATTCTTTTTTTTTTCTTCATTGACTATACACATTTATCAAAAAAAAATATAGTATAGTTTATGTTGTGGTCTGGATTATCTCTCTGTTCCTCCAATGATTTGGAATATATGCAATCTCATTACGAAAAATAAAAAATTATTGAAGAAGGAATGTGATCATTTATCTTAAAATATCTGTAATAGTTTATTTATACTTGTTAACAATTTTGTTTATCAACTTCTAGGACAGACAAATAACTTTCTTTTTTTTTGAAAGCTGGCATACAAATATCTTAAGATATGATTTTTATTTCCGTGGCATGGTGTAGAAACTCAAACGCGAGAAGAGATACACAGGTAGCTAGAGAAGAAATAAGAAGTTGATCCACAACCTATTTTCTCCTTATTATAGACCAACCACAACAAAAAATCAAGTCTCTCAATAATTCTTCTGATTCACTTCAGTTCTAATTTTTATTAGTTTTATTTTTGTTATATTTGCAAATTAATTCAAAAGTATAAGCTAAATGATTCTATAATATATAACTATATAAGATAAGAAATCCTTGTGTCATCTCTAATCCTTTACTATGTTTACTTTTCTTTGCTAGGGATTTTTATAGTAGCTAGTAATTAATCTTTAGTTTCGAAGGCAAAGAGACAGTCATTGGCAAAAGAAAGATAGAAAAAGATGGTCCTGATTCTCTAAATAGCGCATAGAGAAACAAAAATCACATGTGCCTTTTATATTACACGTTGTAGATAGTGCGACGAGATCCAAGAACCCAAAGTACCGAAAAAATCCCTGACCGTTAGATTTTTGTCATATCTTGACACTTTGGAATCATATTCACACGAGTGGGCCTATCAATAATTGTTCTCGCTAGATGCCAAAATGAAATGTAATAATTAGAAAGAAAATGTATAGAGAGTGACTTAATTTATAACTTAGGAACGAACGGTGACGGTAGTCTGTAGATAAAGCAGAGTATAACGTTAGCGAAGGTATGTCTCATAGCGTTAGCGAAGAATTAGCGTCCGACATATTTGTTTAAAACAAATGTTGTAATCGTGTTATCGAAAGTTGTTTTGTAGTCTATATGTATATATCGCACGCATACCAGCTTTGTTGTTGTTATGGAAAATCAAACACGCGTACGAACATCAGTATACCACGATTTATGTAGCTTATGAATCAACGACTGCATACATACATTAAAAAAAAAAAAAAAATCGCATTAGATGGTCAGAAATTGGAATAGGATCTAGCTAGTATAGTCTCTGGTTAATATTTAATATCCACTTACTCGATTCTTATTGCATTAGAATAGTTGAAGAATTCAGTAAATAGATTTTCTCATGTGATTCTAAACTAACTACTAGATATAGTATGTATTACGAATTGGCTAATTCCTAATATTGCTAGTAGGATATCCTTTTACAAAACATATATATATATAGGATGTTGAAATTTTCAGAAATTGACTTTTGTATTACTTTTCTTTATAACTGACGGGACGATCAATTTATCTATTATATATAGGATTTTTTTTCCTCTGTCGACATTAGGGATCGTGTATAAACGTACACTTGGCAATTAAGAATATGTTATATAATCTTATAGATAATTCTACATTCGAGCATGCATCAACAAAAAAAAAACGGCAATAAAAACTATAATGCTTGAATTTTTTTATAGAAAAACGTACAAACTACTCGTCAACCAGTCACAATATAATGCATTCTTTAAGTTTGACTTTGAGTTTTATTGATATTAAAACATCATTAAAATAATTTTCTTAAAACTCTTTATGATGTTTTTTTTTTGTATTTTTGCTAATCTTTGATGAATTGATCAAAAAGATGTACAATAATTACGATACTTTTTTATTTTTCCACATAAAATAAGATGATTGAATAGCTATATTTTTATATGTATAATAAAACAAATAATTGGCCAAAAGTTCAAAATCATTTTATCATGTCAGCAATTTCCAGATTCTTATTAAATAAAAACCGCCATCCTTTCCAAATAGCCTCCACATCAGGGGGTGAGACTTCTCACTTTTTTAAAGAGTTTAATATGTCACTAGACCAAGCCATACTTCTTCTTTTTTCCTACGAGCCTTGGGAGTTAAAGATTTTCGGGCAATAATCTCCCCCAGTAATCAGAATCACTATATTAATATTATGATTAAGAGAATAATCATCCGTTTCAAAGGGTGTTTGAACCCTGAACAAACAAATAATTAACCCGTTATACTATCAGTAGACACAATTCCTTCGGTGACCAAAAGCTTTTTTTTTTTTTTTTTTTGAAAGAATGACCAACAGCTACTTGGTAATTAAGTAGCTATATCTACATACCGTAAATATTACAAGGCCACGAAGACTGTGCCTGTCCTGACATAGTATTCCCCATGTTTCATGATTTTAAGTTGATCGAGTTGAAATGGAAAAAGTCATTTAACAAATAAAATATAGTTACATCATAGTAACGCGTCGAATTAACAAACATTAAAGTGGCAAAACTCATCGTACAGCCTCTCTCTACGGCTCCCATATTTAATTAAACAATAGGAAAACTATCATATATATTCGACAAGGCAAGCACATTTATACAATTTTTTAAAGAAAAAATAAAATAAAAAAAAACTTGAAAAGGCAAATAAAGGGCAAGTGTATCCAATGCAACCTTCACAGTGAACACGTCCCACGTTCTTTTTCTTCCCTCTTTTAGAACTCTCTCTCTCTCTCTCTCTCTCTCTCTCTCCCTTTTGCCACTTATCCTCTCTCTCTCTCTCTCATCTCGCCGGAAAAGAGAGAACCAGACACATATAATACGACGCCGTTTGCACAAAAAGAACACGATCATGTTGGATCTCAGCCTTGGAATCTTGTCTAACTATAAAGAAGATCAAGATCGGAAAGTACCATTCATCTCAACCCCCGGTGAAGAAGAATCTAACCTCTCCTCTTCCTCTTCCTCCTCCTTCTCCTCCTCACCCACAGCTTCTGCCTCCGGCAAAGCTTTTATCACCTTCGGAATTCTCAAACGCGACGATGACGTTGTTCCTCCTCCTCCTCCTCAAGAAACTGGAGATCTTGATGCTCGCCGGAATATTGAAGTCTCCGTCGAGGACAGTCACTGGTTGAATCTGTCTTCTTTACAGAGGAATAAACAGCAAATGGTGAAGAAGAGTAGAAGAGGACCAAGGTCCCGAAGCTCCCAGTATCGTGGCGTCACTTTTTACCGTCGCACCGGTCGTTGGGAATCTCATATTTGGTATACCCAAAAAAAAAAAAAATTTAATCTTTTGTTTTTCTCTAAGACTATTGAATTATTATTACTATATATATCTCTAATTTTGGTTTTGGGATTGATGATTTGTAGGGATTGTGGAAAGCAGGTTTATTTGGGTAAGTAGATTTTTCGTCTTAACTACGCGCGTGTGTCTGTGTGTCTATTTATAGGCATAAACGATGAATTCATAGCTATCACATTTTTGTGATAAGATTTATTTGCTAGATCTTTCTTGTCTGACAACATCTGTTAACAAGTACTACTACATACTAAAAAGTTGTTTAAACGTCTACCACCGTTTAAAAGTTACAAGTATACACATATTTTTATATAAAACGTCAACAAATATAATAGGGCTATATATTACAGCTCATTAACTATGTTTCTTAATTCTATCTTCCACATTTTATTGATCACAATTTGTTGGTTTTTAGTCTGAACTTTTTATTTTTCATGTTTTGTTTTAATAGGCGGGTTTGATACTGCATACGCAGCAGCAAGGTAAAAGAAATTTCAATATACATATAAATGCACACATATATGATATTATTTTTGCTATAACATTCGTCATTTGTAGTATGTTAGTTTTGTCAACATATACACATTATATTCATCGTTGAAGACATTAAAGAAATATTAGTTGACTTGTATTAATAAATGAATATATACACTAGGGCGTACGACCGAGCTGCTATCAAATTCCGTGGTCTTGACGCAGATATCAATTTCGTCGTGGATGATTATAGACAAGACATCGATAAGGTATAAAACATTATAAATACGTCCCCTGAAATATATGATAATATGACGGAACTATTTCTATATATCTATACTTGTTTTTCGTTTTTCGAATCAGTTATGGATCTTAATTAAATGATCAATTACGTTTAGATGAAGAATTTAAATAAAGTGGAGTTCGTGCAAACACTTAGGCGAGAGAGTGCGAGTTTCGGGAGAGGAAGTTCCAAATACAAAGGCTTGACTCTTCAAAAATGCACCCAATTCAAAACTCATCACGATCAGATTCATCTCTTCCAAAACAGGTACCATAATTAATCACTCTTATCTAATCTCATGTTAAAACACTTCATTTTAAATAGTTTTCGAGTACTTTCTTATCTTATTTTTGGAAACCCTTAAATTTTTTTTTTGTCATTGGAAACCCTTAATTAAAAAGTTGAAAGTGCAATAGTTGTCTTATATATATATTTCCCATATAAATATTGGAAAACATTTTTCACTCGGCGGATGGAATATGAATGGTAGAATACTACTCCTCAATCACTTATCTTCTTTTCATCCATATTCCCTTTGTAATTGTTTACCATTCAAAGCCTAACACTCACTTTTGGAGAAATAATTTAACTCTACAAACTTTCACAATAGATAAGACAAATTAGAACAAACCTAATAATATTTACTTATATATTCTAAAGGATTTATTTTCCAGGCTGATCTAACCTGCTTTCACAATAGATAAGACAAATTAGAACAAACCTAATAATATTTACTTATATATTCTAAAGGATTTATTTTCCAGGCTGATCTAACCTGCTGATCTTAATTATCATATTTCTTTAATATGATCATTTGTTTTTGTTAATAAGTTTCTCTAATCATTATAAATCATGTTAAACACAAAAGAATAGTTTTATTAAGAAAACCATTAATTTAAATAAAAATAACAATAATAATTACAATAACTTTATATATGCGATTCAAAATTGATCATTCCTATATAGTAGTATCAGTTTTACTCATTTTGTTACTCATCGAAAACTTGAGCATGATACGAATTTTCCTACTCAGATTTATTTTTCTAATTGAATAGTAACATATTTAGTAGAATATGGATGGTGTTATTATCTTACAAAGTTTTAATTATTATCCTTTAACTGATACCAAGCTAAAGTCATTATTTAAAAAAATGCGAAAACTTATATTTTAAGAGAAATGAAGGTAATATCGGTTCATTTAAGTCGCTTTTGTTTACGAGTTTGATACTTATCTTATCGGGAACGATGTTTCCTTTAGTTTAACTTTTATGTTTCGTCGTATAAGCTTGAACACCATTATTAACATAAATTTGAAACCAAAGAGTATAAATATTATGTTGTAAATAATTTTGGAAATTATATACATGTATGAAATATTAACAGGGGATGGGACGCAGCAGCAATCAAATACAATGAGATGGGAAAGGGAGAAGGAGTCATGAAGTTTGGTGCCCACATTAAAGGTAACTGATACATGTGGGTCACAATGTTTACACATATATTTAATGTAAGTTTGATTGATGAATTTATATAACACTAACCACAAGTTTCACGTTTACTTTTGACTTGATCAAGCAAACCCTAGCTAGCTAAACCTTTTGTCGTTTCTCTCTTTAAGCAACTTAGTAAAGAAAAGTAGATCTTCTTCTGATTCAATAACACATTTTTTTTATCTTTCAGGAAATGCTCACAACGATCTTGAACTAAGTCTTGGTATTTCGTCATCATCGGAAAATATAAAGTTAGGCGATTACTATAAAGGTATTAACCGTTCCACGATGGGTTTGTTCGGTAAGCAATCATCGGTCTATTTACCGGTTACCACCATGAACCCTTTGAAGACAGTTGCAGCATCATCAGGATTCCCTTTTATCACCATGACCACTTCCTCTTCCTCCATGTCTACTTGTTTTGATCCGTAGGATCGATCCACACTCTCTTTTTTTTTACTATATATATATATACATATATTTTGTATATCGACCATAAATTTGATTCTTTCCGTAATGAGTGAAATATATTGAAAGTATTTGTTCTAACTTCAACTCGATTATGTGCCAAACTTCGTTATCACGAAGATGTGACTACAATGGGTCATAAGAAAACTATAAATGTTAATTGTTACGACTTACGAGTGGTTTAATGTTCTTTTCACAAATTACAAGTACAGTACTATCTTGGTCGTGTAAACAATTTGAGGATATTTTCTAAAAATGTTTTTGCAAAATTTCCTCCCATCCTGTCCCATCTCATTTTCGTTCCATAAATATTCCCAACAAGAACAATTTTTTTTGTTTGTTTCTCAAATTCTCATTTACTCAAAAATACCATCTTGTTCTTGTTTGTCTATCCATAGTTTCAAATAATAGTTATTGGATTACTAGTCTGTTTGTGGTGTGATTCAACCTATTAAAATGACTGATCCCGTCTTAAGTTAAAAATATTGCTTTATTTTAAGCCTTTAGAAGTTGACGTCTAAAGTAATAAATGTAGAACTATTATCAACTTAATCGTCATTTACTTGAATAATTTAATTGACTTAAAATAGTTTCTATCTACTGAAATGCCTTTTATTGGGGGACCATACATTGTTGTTTCTATAATTTATTGTATTTTGACATCTTACAATAAAATAAGATTTTGATGTGTCAATTTTTTTATTAGTTGCTCCTACAAACTTTCCCTTTCCAAATTGTCTAATTATTTTAAAAATTTTCAAAGGTTACTTTTATCTGATCATATAACGTTTAGTTTTTGGTAGGTGTGAGTTTTCATTCTTTAACATTTTCTTGGTTCTATACATAGCGTTGAATAAATAAATAAATATTATACAGAGTATTTGTTTTTAAGGGCTTTACATGAACGGAAAGGAATATTTTGTTCAGAAAATAATTTCCGAGGAACACTAGCCTGAGGCAAGAGTGGTAATAAGTGACCTTCATAGGCACTAAGACTAAGCCATTAAACCGACAAACCAACACCATTCCTTATGAGCAAAGCCGATCAGAAACAGGCAAAAGAAAATACTATCTGAATCTTAACAGCTTTAGCTATAACCCCACAAGCTTGATAAACGCAGCATTGTCAAGATTCTCACTCATCTTCTCGTATACTCACATAAGAAGGCGGTCGATATTATTCACAGTGTTTGCAAGATGTTTTTACAACTACCTGTTTCAGGTTCATTCTGGATTTTGAATCTGGCAGGTTTCAAAAGGGCTTCTAGTTCTTGTTTCTTGCTCCAGTTCCAATCAAGCAGACCGCTAAGTTAGGAGAATCATATGAAGAGTTAAATAAGGACTCGCTACACTGGTTCCATCACCCGCCAAAAGTAAAGGCTTCAGAAGATCCTGACGAACTGCAACCTGGTTTAAATTATGCAATAAACAAGCTCAGCGTAAGAATGTGAATGACATCCATAATAAAACCATGAGAAACGAGTGCACACCTTGAGCAGCCAGATGATTGTGTCTCTCTAGAAGCCAAAGCTAACTCATAAGTCAAAAACGTGGCCCGGGTTTGCCAGACTACAAACTTGCTACACCAATATGTTGAGATTCTCTGTCTTTCCCACTCACGAGAATATCAAATGTAACACCATCAGGTAGAAGACCCTTGTCAAGCATCTCATCGTGAAGTCTAAAGGCCTCATCAAAATTTCCTTCTTTAAAGTGTCCTGCAATCACGGTGTTGTAGATAAAGACATTTGGAGTCACATCATTCTTCTTCATCTCCTCAAAAATCTTAACTACTTCCACAAACTGTCCCTTCTTGCCAAGACCTTTCACAATGACAGAATACATGACTTCATCAGCGACAATACCCATCGCCTGCATTTCTGTGTACAAATCAGATGCGAGGATCAAATTTCCTTCTTTCAACAATCCATTAACAAGTGTTGTATACGTAAACAGATCACATCCTAGACCATCTTTCAACATTTTCTTGTACAAATCAAGAGCTGCTTCCATGTTTCCCAGATAACGGAATCCAGAAATCAAGCTGTTGTAAACAGCTCTGTTTGGATTCAATCCTTCTTTAAGGAGTTCAGACAACAGAGCAGATGCACTTTCCATGTTACGCTTTTTGCAAAACCCATCGATAAGAGCACCGTAAGCTGGAACATCAAGTTTGAGACATTTGTTCTTCATTTCGTTTTTCATTTCCAGTGCTTGATCCATTCTGCTATTTTTGCATAACCCATCCATCATGCTGGTATAAGTTACGACGTTTGGGGAAATCCCATTGCCACACATCTCTTTGTAAGCTGCAACCGCAGAATCCATGTCACCCTCTTTGATAAATCCATCTATGATGCTATTGTAGCTCATGCAACTGAAACAAACCCGCTTTTCTCTGATCAGATTTTCCAACACATCTCTTGCTTTGGATGTCCGACCAGATTTGCATAAACCATTGATAATCGTGTGGTATAGGACCTCGTTGGCTTCAATATTGGAAGAATTCATTTGATCAAAGACTTCCCAAGCGCTCTGTTCATCTTGATTCTTGAAACATCCATCGATCAAAATGGAATACGTGTAGTTGTTAGGCTTTATACCCTTTTCCAGCATTTCTGAAAAAACAGTACGAGCCAAGTCCATGTCTTTCTTTCTGCAGAGGGCAAGCATTACGTTATTGTACGAAACTACATTAGGTCCAAGACCTCTACTTTCCATCTTCCTCAACAAATTTTTGGCCTCATCTATCTTACCTTGCTTGCATAAAAAGGATAACATACTGTTACATATGAAGATGTTTGCAAGACCAGTTTCGAAAGACAAGTCAAAGAGTTCCAGTGCCTCTTCAGGTCTCTGACCTTTCAAACACCCTTGGATTATCGAGTGGTTATGAAAGACCGAAGGAGTAATACCTAAATCTTCCATTTTCTTGTAAAACTCAAGCGCCTTTTCCATGTCTCCCTTCTTACTAAACCATTCTATCAGAACCGAAAATGTAACACGGTTTGGAGACGGGCCTTCTTTTTCCATCTTATAAAACATAGCCAAAGCACTATCCAAGTCATTGTTAATGCAATATCCCTTGATCAGACTCGTTGCCACAATAACATTCATGGGTATCCCATCACTCACCATCTCGTCCTTCAATCCAACTGCCTCCTCCATATTACCTCGCTTCACTGATGCCACTATCACAGAAGTATATGTCTCCTGCGATGGGACACACGACTTCTTCTCCTTCATCTCTCTCAATAAACCAAAAGCCATAGCCAAATCGAACGTCTTGCAGCAAGCCTGAACAGCAAGACTATACAGTAAACGATCCGGTTCTGCTCCTTTCTCGATCGCTTTACTAAAAACCTCCAAAGCCTCCTCAGGATTTTCTTCTCTCAGGCTGGCTCGCATTAACAAATGCGTAGTGACATTATCGCCAGCAACACCAGTGGCAACCATCTTACTATACAGCTCCTTAGCTTCATATATCGAATTCCTTCGAACTAAAGCATTTAAGGTGTTGTTCACATATGGGACGAATAGAGCCAAACCTAGTTCTATCATTAGATTGATGCAATCTACCGCATAATCCGTTTGCCTGTCTTTGGAATAAGCATTCAGCAAGTAATTAAAAGCTCGTGGCTTGACTTCAAACCCAAATGATTTCGCCGATTCCATCAAATTACTGACCAATACGCTTGGCATTGCCACTGGATTGCTCGAAGAAACATACCGTACGAGCAAATCGCTTGCGCGTCCATAGGTCTCAGGAGAACCAACCAGAATATGAATGAGTACCCAGAAGGCGTCACCATCTTCAAAACTTCCACGCCATGGTCTAACCCAATTGTAGAACCGAAGAGCAGATTCTGGGTTGTCCCTGCGACTCAGAAGCACGTCGATTACACGCGCTTCGTCGTCCTTGTGTTCAGGCTTGGTAGTCAAAAGATGCACTACGGAGCTAACTAGATTCTCGTCAGAAGCGGATCCGTAAACTAGTCTCTGCTCTTGACTTGGATTCTCAGATTCTTCGGGAAATTGAGATTGTGAACAGAAGGGTTTATTGTTTCCCAAACAGCGAAGCAGAAGCGGTGCAGGAATTTTTCTGAAAGCCAATAAAGACCTCATTTTTCCTTTTCAGCAATCTTCAGCAGAATGAAGATGATCGGGGAAGAAGGAGAGGAACGAAATCTCGGAGGTCAAACCAGGAAAAAAGGCTTAAACCCTAATATCTTTCCCCGAAACCCCACAATAACCCCTCACGACGTCGTTTTGGGGTCTTCTCCTTTAACAAAAAAAAAAAGCTTTTCAATTCCGATTATCCAAAGATCGTCTTCAATTCCCAGAGAGAAGAAAAAAATGTCGAATTGCAGGTTTCTCTACCACAACGGCGTCGTTTTGGAGGCTCCTCCCGTCACTACTTTCCTTGAATCGCTCACGGGTAAAGCAACCAAACTGTGGCTAATGAACTGAAAATGGGCAAAAAGGTTGAAACTTTGATTAACAGTTTTGGAGAATCTTACAGGTGCTTATACAACGACCAGAACGATAAACAGTGCCACTAGTTTCTTGTTCTGGGAGAGACATATGAAGAGGCTTTCTAGCTCGATTCGTATCCTTTTGAATTCGAAACCCAAGCTTTTGTTCAGTTCAGGGTCATCATCGCGGTTTTTGATTGATCACTCAGTTCCTGAGTCAAGCATTAACGATCTAGTCAATGGTTCTATGAGCAAGGCTCTGAAATCTGGTGTAGTGAAGGAAAGGGGAAGAATTTATGGAGAAGAATTAGCGGTAACGGTTCTTGTTACTGGTAATATGGAGAAATTGAATAGGTTAGATGATGAAAATTGTGATCAGGAGGAGAGAAAGGTTCTGGATTTTCTCGATGTGTGGTTGCATATAGGTGGATACTCGCCTTACCCGTTAGGTGTTCGAGAAAATTCCGCGAGTTTGGCTTTGGTTGGTCATGGACGAGACGTTGCTGCTGCTAAGTACTCAGACTGGGTAAGGTATTGTGCTCTGCTCATTCAAACCGATTCTTGAGGTTTCTGATTGGTCAATTTCCGGGATTTAGCTTGTGGTTGATTCGTTTTTGATGTCGTTACGGATTGTGATTTAGGCAGGCTGAGGAAGCCTCTGGAGAAGTTTAGACCTCATGCGACGACTGAACTTCTTTTGTCAAACGATGGTGATCATTTGCTTGAGGGTTGCATCACAAACTTTTTCGTAGTTTGCCGCAGGGTACAGAGAAACACTTTGACTTTCTTCTTGATAATTTGTTGAAGCCTATGATTTGACTTTGGATCTTCTCATTGTAGAAGTCATCTGACAATCTATACGGTGGGAGTTTGAGTGAGTTTGAAGTGCAGACTGCACCTATAACCGATGGTGTGCTTCCAGGAGTTATAAGAGAGGTTGTCATCGAGTAAGAAAATTTTAAAAATGCTACTATTATATTGAACCATTTCGAGTGTTGATTAGATTACGCTCTGTTTATGATCAGCAATCTTTTCTTGTCAGTGTGTGTTTAAGCAAAGGAATCCCATACCGCGAGAGAGCACCTTCGTGGTCTGAGCGTGAGCTTTGGGAAGAAGCCTTCATTACAAGTAAAAATCTTTCCACATCCGTTATGATTTTCAAAATCAGTTTTTGTCCAAACAAGTTTTAACATGTTGATTGTTTGAGATTTAAGATGTTGTAGACGTTTTAACATCTCAAGAAATCTTTGGAATCAGGTAGTCTGAGGATTTTGCAGCATGTAGGGACGATTAAAGTACCGTTTGGTTCATTGAAAGCATTGGCTTGTACCAAACCAGAGGAGATTCAATGGGAGGAGAAAAGGTTTGAGGAAGGACCTGGGATGATCACTGAATTGATCCAGGTAACACCTTTACTACTCTTATATCATTGCTTTGTTCCAGTTTTTGGTCTTGTCCTTGAGTTAATCGAAGTTAGAAATCACTTAAATGGCGATATAATTTGTCGTTGGTTATTATGTTTGGAGTAGAGAGCAACAATGGAGAGAGGAATCGAAGAAGGGTTCCCGTTGAATAACTTCTAAGGCCTAATCCGTCGTTGCCAAATAGCTGAAATGTTTATTGATTCCATTATCTTCCAAAGAATCACCTTGTTATTTTTTTTATATATCAAATGTTGCATATTTGACCTTAATCTTCGCATTTAAAAGCTTCCCAAAAAACACAAAGGTCTCAATTTAATATATGTCTATGCTTTTTACTTGTTAGTTTATTTTCACTCTTGAACATACACAAACATTTGTTAACTAAATCAAAGTTGAAAGATAGATAGTCTATAACTAAGAGTCATAGTATTAAGATAGAATCAATCCTAAAAAATGTATGCAATCTGATCTTTGTATGTATATCATATTAATAATTAAAAAAAAAACTTCATCGATCACCATTTGGTTATAATCTAATAGAACAAAATGGACACATCTAATCAAAGTCAAATAAACCATGTGTTAATATGCTAAAACCACTGTATGAAATATCACTAAGCGGCTAAAGCAGAGTTTGTGTCAGCACAACAAAGTTTCGTTGGTCATCAATGAACTTCAAAAAGGCAGTGAAAAACCAAGTAAAGACCACTCTGTCTCTTGAAAGTTTTCCTCTAAGGCAAAATGAACCAGATGGATAGGCAGCTTTTTAGAACACTAGTTTTATCTACAATTTCATAAATGTATTCAAGACTCTCATCAAGCTGAAAAACTGTGTTTTAGGCGATTTGAGCTAGAAACTGATCTACCACCAACGTCTTCTGATGATTGTATGATGCTTGATCTAATCATTTTAATCCTGACTTTTGGATCAATAAGCATCTTATCAAGTCAAATCCATAACCCATGTGTTAATATGCGATAACCACTATTTAAAAATATCACACTTGCCAAAAATTAAAAGAATCCATCTCGGTTGCATTACGCACGTCTTGCCTCTGCATGACCCTTCCACGCCCTGCAAGATCTCTAGTCAACGGTGACTCACAGTCGCCACGTGTCACTCGATCATTTGATATGTTTTTTGCTCTCACCTAGTCACCATCAAATACGGCTCCTCCACGTGACTTCTTACACTCGAGACTATAAATTTTGAGTTAAATAAATAGTTTGGGTTCTCATTTTCGAGCTCTAATCTCACTAGGCTAGGGTCTAAGAAAATTCTTTGTGATCTGAACATCAATGGCTTCTTCCACAAGCATCTCCCTCCTTCTCTTCGTCTCTTTCCTTCTCCTCGTTAACTCGCGCGCAGATAATGCGCCAATTGGTTCAGATCTCGACGAGGAACTGGCTTTCCTCGCCGCGGAGGAGTCCAAGGAACGAAGCCACGATGAACACGATCAGTACCGGGACTTCGAGAATTACGAGGATCTCGAGCAGGGAGGAGAGTTCCATCACGGCGAGCACGGAGCCGGCGGGTACGAGGAGGAGCCGTTACCAATCGTCGACGAGAAAGACGTGGCGGTCCTGACCAAGGACAATTTCACTGAGTTCGTCCGGAACAATAGCTTCGCTATGGTGGAGTTCTACGCTCCGTGGTGCGGCGCTTGCCAGGCTCTGACGCCGGAGTACGCCGCGGCGGCGACCGAGTTAAAGGGCGTTGCGGCGCTCGCGAAGATCGACGCGACGGAGGAAGGGGATTTGGCTCAGAAGTACGAGATTCAGGGATTCCCCACCGTTTTCTTGTTTATTGACGGAGAAATGCGCAAGACCTACGAAGGAGAAAGGACCAAGTAGGTTAAATCTCACTCTTTTCTGGATTAGTTGTTGGATTTTTTAGTTAGATTTAGTCAACTGTTAGGATGAATTGTTTTCTGAAACTTTGAGATATGAAACAATGATCATCAGGTTTAGCTTCGGCATTATTGATCTAATTCGAGACAGTTCAACTGGAAATGTAATAAGAGTTAGCTTGGATCTTGAGAGATTCTTTGTTTTGACACGAGATACGATGACTCTCTGATAAAGTCAATTATTGGATCTTTTGATGAGAATTATTGATGTTGATTGTTGATGACTCTGGGAAGAAGGTTAATTTTGAGAAACGGTGCAGTAGAGGACATGCGATCTATCTGATTTGGTTTCTTATCCGTTCGTTTTCGATAGAAATTATTGTTCAATGCGATTCACCATTATGGAATTAAAAAAAAACAAACTTTATTTTACAGGGATGGAATTGTGACTTGGCTGAAGAAGAAGGCCAGTCCGAGCATCCACAACATTACTACAAAAGAGGAGGCTGAACGTGTTTTATCTGCTGAACCTAAAGTTGTTCTTGGTTTTCTCAACTCCTTAGTGGTATGTAACCTTCAAATCCAAATGTGTTTTGTGCTCTCCTTCTTGGATTTATCTCGCTTTTCTAGCATCTCAGAGTTATAAAACATATGCTTAACCAATTTAATTACCGTGGGTTTTCTCTACCTGAGAAAACCAGAAAGAAAAACAGACGGAGATGTTAATGTTAAGAAAATTGTCCCCAGGTGTTTAGTAGGTGAAAGATATTAGAGCTTGCACTCAGATCCTTTTGTCTAGTGCATTAAGATGCAGGATTGAAAAGTGTGAAGCTTTGGCTTTTAGTATCCTACTCTGCCATCTTTTTCACCACTTTCTATTGTTCAGGGGTCGGAGAGTGAGGAACTTGCAGCTGCATCCAGATTGGAAGATGATCTCAGCTTTTACCAAACTGCAAGCCCTGATATTGCAAAGCTATTTGAAATAGAAGCCGAAGTCAAGCGTCCTACTTTAGTTTTGCTGAAAAAGGAGGAAGAGAAACTCGCCCGTTTTGGTAAAAGCCCCTCAAAACATATTGCTTTTTTTTCCGCTGCTTAGATTTCCTCTGTGTGTCTCACTCATTGTGCTCCTTTTTGACAGATGGCAATTTCACTAAGGCGGCTATAACAGAGTTTGTGTCAGCCAACAAAGTTCCGTTGGTCATCAACTTCACTAGAGAAGAAGCATCACTGATTTTTGAGAACTCAGTGAAAAACCAAGTAAAGACCATTCTGCCTTTTGAAATATTTCACCTGTTCATTGCAACGAAGTATTTTAAATTTTATTTCTTAAACATTGTCAGCTCATTCTTTTCGCTAAGGCAAATGAATCAGAGAAGCACCTTCCCACTCTGAGGGAGGTGGCAAAGTCCTTCAAGGGAAAGGTACCCTTTTTTTTTTCAGTGGTCATTTTGCTCGCTTTCTGGAACTATTTTAGAGAAGAACCACCTCGTGAAACTATTATATATCAAACTAGAGGTGGATGATAACTTTGGTTATTGAGTTGGAAATCCTCTCTATTTGTCTGCAGTTTGTATTTGTTTATGTGCAAATGGATAATGAGGATTATGGGGAAGCAGTTTCTGGATTCTTTGGTGTTACCGGCACTGCCCCCAAGGTAAAGTAGTTGATTTGAAATAATGCCTGCGTGTCGGTTCTGTTTTGTTAACAAACCAAATTTTGCGTATGCAGGTTCTTGTATACACTGGAAATGAAGATATGAGGAAGTTTATTCTGGACGGTGAATTGACCGTAAAGAACATTAAGGTTGGCTTAACATGTATTTTCTGTGAAATTTTAATGGTTTCACGACGTGTTGTTCATTATTTGGTGAGTTATCTTATTTTCTAATTTTAATCTTTTAACAGACACTTGCGGAAGATTTCCTAGCAGACAAACTGAAGCCGTTCTACAAGTCAGATCCAGTACCTGAAAACGTAAGCCTTCCCACATTTCAACACACACACCTGGCATGTCACATAATACTGATTCACTAGCTTCTAAATCAAACGCAGAATGACGGTGATGTTAAGATCATTGTGGGAAACAATTTTGATGAGATTGTTCTTGACGAGTCAAAGGATGTTCTTCTCGAGGTAATTATCACATTGAAACGTTAGAGTCTTGTTTACTCATCTGAGTGGTATGTACATAAAAGCGTGAGAGCTTTGTCACAGATATATGCTCCTTGGTGTGGCTACTGCCAATCGTTTGAACCGATTTACAACAAGCTTGGAAAGTATCTGAAGGGAATCGACTCGCTAGTTGTAGCCAAGATGGATGGTACCACCAATGAGCATCCTAGAGCAAAGGTAAATGAACAGCCAAATTTTGAATAAAGCTTTTGGTGATTCAAGACTAAAGAGAACTGATTTTTTTTTTGTTTGGTTGTCTAAATCTCTTTATGTTCAGGCTGATGGGTTCCCAACAATCCTGTTCTTCCCTGGTGGAAACAAGAGCTTCGATCCGGTTAGCAAAGATTACTCACTACGTCAAACAGTGTTGTTGAAACTTGCAAGTGATTACTTCTTGAGTACTGAATTTGTTATCATTGCCGCTCGTATTTTTTTTTTTTTTTTTTTTTTTTTTTAAAAACAGATCACTGTGGATGTTGACCGTACAGTAGTGGAACTGTACAAATTCCTAAAGAAGCACGCATCAATCCCATTTAAACTTGCGAAACCGGCGGCGATACATGAACCGATCATCTCGACTAAGAAAGCTGATGAGAAGATTGAGGGTGATGGTGCCAAGGATGAGTTGTGATGATGCCTTGCGAGGAACAGAGTATGTAACAGAATATATAGATGATGACTCTTCTATACATGATAGAAAATGTATTGTCCTTTTTATTTGGTTTTTGTTGTATGCTATGAAATGAATAATCAAAAAAGAATTTTGTTTTCTCAAGTCAATTATGAATGCGAGTTGTCTGGCTCGAGTACAGTAAATCATGTGATAAGCGATGACCCTTTTTTTCAAGTATCGTGTCTGATCACGATCATTTTTATTATTAAGTTTGATATCTCAAACTTTACTCAATTAAGATAGTTTTTAAACCGAGTTTAAGGATATAGCTAGAAAGATTTGATCCACACATTGATCAATCGTCTCGAGGCCAGCTGAATAGTGTCCTTATCACATCAATGTTTGAAATGACACGCGGAAATTTATGTTCACACAAAAATATCAGGTGATATTTAATAGCGTGAGTTGCTACTATAAATTTGGAAAGTGTTTTAATGACCAAAATTATTCAAAGCTTTTGTAATTACTAAAACAATTAAGCTTACCTATTATACTATTGTATTCATAAAATGTTATTACTAGTTTTCAACGTACAAACTGGTTTTCATTTTCGCGCTTAGATACAAAAGTCTATGACTTGTTAAATTTATGCTTGGGTTAGTAGACTTAATATTAATGGGCTTTACTATTTACTATATAATTTGTTGGGCCATTTAGAGTTATTGGATTTGTTATTTTTAGTCCATTTACCTACCAAATAATTTACAAGTATAATCGAAATAACCGAATAAATCAGGTAAACCGAATCAGACGAATTCAACAGAAATTTGCATTAAAATTTCGTTTATTTTCGGTAGCAATTTTATAAACGAACTAACCGATACCTGAGCTGAACCGAACTGTGATTTAATTTGGTTATTTTCGGTAGCAAATTTATAAACCGAACTAACCGATATCCAAGCCAAATCAAACCTTAATTTAATTTGACTATTGTCAGAAGAATTACAGGATTAACCGAATTACCCTAACCAGAAAAATCGAAACTATCTGAGCCCTAACATACTAAACCTTCATATGGAACCGATTAATGGATTTGACTATAACAAAATGTGACATAACAAATAAATATTTTAAAATCCTATATTTAAAAGAAGAAAAAGGGATTACTGATTAGAGAACACGATAGAACTTTGACTTGTCATATATTACATTACCATATATTATTGAAAATGTTCTATAAATTATTTCCTAGAGTCCCTTCACACACGTTTCTGATGGATTCTTTTTGACAAAAAATACTAGACATCTCTTTTCCGTAAAGGTCAAAATACATATACAATTTTTTTTTTGTTAGCATTTCATTTCTCTTGATTGCAATTTATCTATGTGGGAAGAAAACAAAAAAACAATTAATTAATAATAACATATGAAGCTTTGCTAGTTTGTAAATTATTTGAAGCGCTACACTAATATCATATCATAGCGTTACATATGGTATGTAAAAATAAGAAAGTCAGAGAGGCAGAGTAAAGATTAGGTGATACTTGCAAGTACATTTCTTTTCCAAATTTAAGTAACGTCTCAAGTTTTTAAACTATTATATGCTCTGCAATCTATTTTGTTCCTATATAAGATTTAATTTCACTGATAAAACAGAAACAATTACTTATTGCATTTTAAAGTCTTATATGAAAAGAAAAGAACAATTAGCACATATAGATAAATATAATATTAAATCCAAAGTTAGTATTAGACTATTAGTAGAGCAATACTCATAGAATTATATCTAACTTTTTGCCAACATATAATCAGCATTTAATGAAAATATAATTATAATTATTCAAAGTTTAGAAATAATTTCTCTGTAAAAGTGAATGCAACTGCAAGTCTCTGAATGGCAAAATGAAAATGGTAACACTTATCTGTGAATATAGTACATAAAAACAAACAAAAAGTTTAAATTATAAATATTTATTGCTCGTTCCTCTTTTTATTAATCCGCGTTTTGTCTGCCTTTCTCCTTTCTCTTCGATCTGGGTTTGGTGAGGGTTTTTAAGTAAAGCGTGCGATACAAAAACAGACATCGTCTGTAACTGCTGTGTTCTTGCCTTATTCTTCTTCTTCTTCTTCATCATCTTTGTCTCTCTCCTCTTCTCTTGGTGTATATATCAGTGTTTCATTTGTTCTACATAAAAAGTAAAAGATTCATCTTTTTAAGGCTAATTCAGATAGGCTTTTTTCTTTTCTTCGCCAAAAGACGAGCTCGGGTTGAACAAGAGAAAGAATTTAAGAATTTGAAGATTCCGCGCAAAAGAAGAGAAAGACTAAACCTTTTTTTTTCTTTGTTCCCGTGGTGATTTCTCGCGCTCTGAAATTGGTTTGACCAAAGACGACCGGTTTGATCTGAATCTCTTGTGTTCATATGGTAGACAAATAGAATTAGGTGCTGGATTAAGTACAGGATTTGATTCTCTCAATCATCATGCAAAGAGCACGCAATAAACCGATTAAATCCACCACGACGGCTTCCGTTAAGCATTTAATCAAACAGAGAGGAGGCGGCGGCAGAGGAGGCGGCGGCGGAGGAGGAGGAAGTGGCGGAGATACGGCGGCTATGGAGGTTTCCAAGCCGGCTAATGACAACAGCCTCTTGACAGATATGCAGGAACCGAGCATCGATACGGACAAACTCAGCTACGAGATTTTCTCGATTCTCGAGAGCAAATTTCTATTCGGCTACGACGGCGACAACAACAACGACGACCCGAAAATCACGGTTCCAAGGAATCTCAACCCGAAACCCGAGCCCGAACCCGTGAATTCGACCGTTCCCGGGTCGATTAAGAACCAGAGAGGGAAAATCTGTATCCTGAGCATCGACGGAGGAGGCATGAGAGGGATTCTACCCGGAAAGGCGTTGGCTTACCTCGAACACGCTCTGAAATCGAAATCGGGTGACCCGAATGCCCGAATCGCCGATTACTTCGACGTAGCCGCCGGGTCCGGTATAGGCGGTATTTTCACGGCGATGCTTTTCGGTTCGAGAGACGGTAACCGTCCGATCTTCAGAGCAGAGGACACGTGGCAGTTCCTAACGAAAAACGCAAAGGCCCTCTACGGGTCATCAGCGCTCGTGAAACGGGTCATGAGAACCGGGTCGTCGGGTACGGCGAAGCTACAGAGAGTGATGAAAGAGTGTTTCTCGGAGCTGACTTTAAAGGACACGCTTAAACCGGTGCTCGTGCCTTGCTACGACCTTAAAAGCTCGGCTCCGTTCTTGTTCTCACGCGCCGACGCGCTGGAGACGGACGGCTACGATTTTCGTCTATGGGAGGTTTGTAGAGCGACGTGGGCTGAGCCTGGTGTGTTCGAGCCGGTGGAGATGAAATCTGTCGATGGAAAGACCAAGTGTGTGGCCATCGGTGGTGGTTTAGCCATGAGCAACCCAACGGCGGCTGCGATCACGCACGTGCTGCACAACAAGCAGGAGTTTCCGTTTGTGAGAGGAGTTGAGGATCTGCTTGTCTTGTCTCTTGGTATGGGTCAGTTGCTTGATGTTAGCTATGAGTATGATCGGATTATCAAGTGGACGGCTAAGCATTGGGCTCGTCCTGCGGCTCTTATTTCTAGCGACGCTGCTGCTGATACTGTTGATCAAGCCGTGGCCATGGCTTTTGGTCACTGCCGTAGCAGTAACTACGTTCGGATTCAGGTATGAAAGAAATGCTTAGTGGTTTGTTTTTGACACACTTGCATGATTTGGATGAGATGGTGTTTGTCTATGTAAATGTTTAGGACATGTTGATTCTTCACAAAAAAAATTAAAAAACTTTAGGCTCATGTAGTAGTTATGAATGGATGATGGGTTTTTGGTTGTAGGCGAATGGGTCGAGTTTAGGACATTGCAAGCCAAACATAGACACAGACCCGAGTGGGAGCAATGTGAATATGCTGGTTGGAGCAGCGGAGGAGATGCTAAAGCAAAAGAGTGTTGAATCGGTTTTGTTTGGAGGTAAAAAAATCGATGAGCGGAGCAATTTCGAGAAGCTTGATTGGTTAGCCGGGGAACTTGTTCTCGAGCATCAAAGGAGAAATTGCAGGATTGCTCCAACCGTGGCGTTCAAGCAATCAGTCCATAGGGCAGATCAGAAGACAATGGACAAAGATATCGGTGTGACTGCTAGAGAACGATGAACAAGCCAAAAAGGTTGTTGTTGTTCTCTTTTGGTTGTGTTAGATAATTTAGGATAAGGTTTTCTTTCTCTCGTATAGATTTGAGTTTGACTTCCGAGACATGAGGAAAAAAAAAACATGATTCTTGTAATTGCGGTTTGTCTTTGTTTTCCTATAATCATCATGATTTCTTCTTTGACATTTCCACTGACTCGAGATAATTTATGAACCACTTTAAGTAACCAAATGTGTATTCATCATATTTGCCTTGTTTACATTCGGAATGGTAGAAGTAGTAATTACGCAGAAAAAAGTGCTTTAACGGATAGTATGTCGGATACGCGTACGGAAGCGTTGAATAAATGAAAAGAATTGAAAACGTAATTCCACAAAGGTTACTTATGGTTGATAAAAGCCTGAAAAAATTACGAAATTACTCTTCTGTTTCTATATTTTAGGAGTTACTAACAAAATTCTTTAATTTGTGGAAGTCATCCAATAAAACACTCTAGGAGCTCGAGACACGACACTATTAATGACAATAAATGTAAAAAAACAAAGGGTCACAACTTTGTATCATTAATACTTCAATAGTAGTAGCTGCTTATTAAATTTTGTCGGATTCTCTTTTAATGTGTGAACACTAAACACCAACAAAATATATCGTTTATTGGATTTAATTGATTTAATCTTACGTGGAGTTGGGGAGCCTAAACTGAATAGAACGTAACGAGAATTAATTTGTTATGTGATCACGTCGTTGGAAGGAGTCAAACAACTCATTATCTTGGTTTATTTCAGGAATTGAAACGTTTTATAAATTCCAAAAAAGAAAACACAAATGTTGTCGTTTGGCTCTTCTTGCGCGTGTGCGTGCGTCGAGGGAGGGACGGTGCGAGTAACGTCATGCATCTGTGAGTAGTCCCACGTCTTTGATTGTCGGTTCAGTCTCATCCACCGACACTCGACACAATATTTTCATTTGTTTACAACTATACTGGTTTATAGCTTTTTTAATTTTTAAAATTTTTGGGGATCTTTTCATTCCTATCAATTATGCGTCCGTCCAAATCTATCTAGTAGCAAAATTTATCTTAAGTTTGGTTGCTTCTTTACGTGATGTCATTTTTCATAGGGACAATTATTCGATGGTTTGTCTATCATGCATTGGCCTCAACTTCTATAGTTTATAATATATTTTGGGTTCGACCGTTCGAGTTCGAGTTATATGTTAGTTTGAAAGAAACGTATCAAAGTCAAACCAAACTCACTATGGTTTTGACGTAGATTTTGTTTTGGCTTAGTTTGAGTATAAAAATCGTATGCGATAGTAGACCTAATTTTTGGATTGTTTTTGTTTTTATATACTTAATTTATCACATTGATTTCTTTATCTTGGTTTGGTTTTGTTTATTACTTTATTTTCATCTAAAAACAAAACTAAAAGCTTCGAAAACAAAAATAATATTAGTAATAAAAATAATTTGTGTGTGTGTTGGTATGGTTAGTTAATTGGTCAAGATTCATTAGGCTAGCTTTAATGCATGTTTTAGGCCAAATGTTTTTATTATAATAATCATAATTGGGTAAACAAAAAAAAACGTGGCCCTCCCTTCTGTCCAAATTTTTGATCGCGTTGGAGCCTAAGAACAAGTTAATTCGTCTCTTCCTCATCGACCATATTCGAACTCGTAATATTGAAAATCTCTCCTTTACTTTGGATGGACACCTAGCTGAACTATCAACGCCGAAGCAAGTGAAGTAATTTTTTTTTCAATTTTAAAACTTTGAAATTACTAGTTCCTTATAATTCTAATGCCAAATAATTTAACCGCATTTAGATTGTGAAAATTGTAGTTTATTTTGAATAAAGATTATTCATACAACTAAATATGTTGAAAGTAAATTTAAACAATAAACCCAAAAGGAAAGAGACACTAGTTCTATTATCACAAAATGGTCAAGCTTTTGTCTAGTTCTACTAATCTCATAAATAAAAAAACGCCGAAAGTGAAACTTTTTTTAGCAAAGTGGGTTTCGAGTTCGTACTTGACGTTCTTATTCAATAGACTTTTATTGTCTTTTGAGGGGTTGAAAACCTGAGATTTCACTAAGAAAAAGAAAAAGAAAAAGAAGAGGAAAAGGAGAAAAGAAGAAGAAGAGGAAGAGAGGTTAGTATAGTAGAAGAAGATCTTTTGAGTGGGATACTCTTGCCCAGCACCGGACCGGCATCGTGGGACCCTTTCTCACGTCTTTATTCCACGATACGCACAAAAACATTATCAAAATATGGCAACCTGACTTGGTCAATTTTTTAACCATATTTGTAAATTCTCTTTTTTCAAGTAATCTATTTTGATCAATGAAAAGTGCATTACATAAAGGAATTGGAAAAAGAAAAAAAAAGAGCATAAGCTTCACGGCCACAATCTAAAAGGACCCCAAATATCTTTGACCTTAAGGTCCTAAGGCCAAACATACAAAAATAAACTATTGGGCCAAGCTTGACCGTCGGTTAGGCGCAATCCCATACCATCCACCACCACCAACCTTCTTCAACCGGCGACCATGGGCTCCTTTCATATCAAAGGGACTGAATACTTTGCTGAGGATTATGTGTGAATATAACTTATATTGCAATAGTTCCTCTGTTCTGGCGACCAACAAAATAGTAAAAACTCTTATGTAAAAGTTGAAAGTTGCAACTTAAAATTAGATTGCAATAGTTCCTGTGTTCTTTAGTTTTCCATCCACCTAACCAAGTGTCATACGTGAGAAATATGAACCTTTACTTTGAGAATAAAACAACTTCCATAGTCCAACTAGTTTTATATATTTTGCATGACAAATTTTATTTTTTATCCCACCCCGCTATAATAAGATAAGGTGGTAACTAGTAAAGAACATTGTCAAAAACAAATATTAATCACTCCATTGTTTAGTGTCTACTACAACACAACGGTATAGGCCCGATTTTCAGAACTCTCAACTTCACTCCTAAATCGTGTAACCCTAAAATAAAACCAAGAGAGTGCAAGAGGAATTTCACCAAGTAAAAGACAAGACCCATCTAATCTAGGACGAAACTTGGGTGACCACTGCAGAGACCATCGAGTTAATCCCACACATATCATGACCACGACACAGCTTGTAGTACCCACCATCTCCCCATTTCTTCCCCCACGAGTTCTTGATAATCCAATACGGTTTATTGCCAAGCCTTAAGATCGAAAACCCTTTTGATCCGTACCCAACAAGAAGCACCCCGTGGTTAATCTTTTTCTTGCTGCATATAAGCGGACACGACACTCCTCCTATGTACGTCTGCATGAACACCGCGTTTAATCCCACTGTGTTCAACAAAACACCAAATTAGCATTAGTGGCTTTTTCACAATTCACCCCAAAAAAAAAAAAGATATTAGTAATGATCACCTGCTAAAGGACCATGTTGTACTAAATTTGCTGTGATCTGGTCCTCGTCCAGTGGTATATTCGTGAAGTTCACTACTTTTACTGCAACCTTATTGGGATCGAACTTGCAGTGGCCTCGTTTGCCAGTGTAAGGATATGATTTTTCCTCTTCTAAACCTCCTGCCTCCTTTAAATACTCGTAGGCATTTGTCATGAGTCCCCCACCACATCCATCGTCGCACGCTTTCTTGTCCTTTGGATCGCACTACACTCATACATACCGTATAAATTTTGGATTATCCAAACAAATTAGTACCTGTAAATAAGTATACATTTAAAAAAATTCAAATGAATGGGCTAGCACATACCGCTTTATCACAATCCACAAGTTGTTGTTCGCTAAGACTAACTAGCTCCCCGGTGGAGACAAAATGGGCTCCTTCAACTGCTCCTGTTGTGCTAAAAGCCCAGCACGATCCACATGCACCCTTCACATCCACAGTTAAATGCTCATTAGAGTTGATATAACTTACACTATCATAAATTATAAGATATTTCTCTATAAAGCTAGTAACTTACTAATAAGTGAATTGTGTATATCCTTTGGCCATACAAGTGTATTATAAAGCTAAATACTGATTACATGCTTAAAATGATTTTGTTAATTATTACATATATACTTAATTACAAAAAAAAAATATACCAGTAGAATTGCACCAGTTTCTCTTGCCTATGTTTTTGTCTGTATCAGATGATATTTTTTTCTCCGTTCATCAAAGAAGTAATCCTAAGCCTTAAACGCAAATCTTATATACTCATTTTCTAATTCAGACTCTACCCCAAAAAAACCATTTTCTAATTTAGCTTCTTAAAAAAACATTTTCTAATTCATCCTTGTTACTACCTATGTGGTAAATTTTGAAACATTGGCCTAGGGCCAAATTTTTGTAAACATTTTAAAAACTTGTTTCTTTTTATTAAAATATATAATATATTAGAATTTCAATGGTATATATACTTTTAAAGCTCTGTTAAAAAAAAAAATATACTTTTAAAGCTTAAAATAGATATTTTTTCATATTCCAGCATAGTTTCTACAATTTTATCATATACAAAATATTTAAAAACAAAACTAAAATACAAAAATAAAATTAAAATATTAAAACACCATTAGTAAAAGATGTTAAATTTTTACTGAGTAATATTTGTAAATTTTGCCCTCTTATTTTTTTGTTTTTTTGGAAAATTGTTTAGGGCCTAAAATAACCTGGACACCTTGACACGGCTAACTTAAGGTTTGAATTAATGTACAACTAATCTAATTGTTACCAAGCAGAGGTATATTCAATGTTGTAAAAGAAGATTCTTAATGTGCGTGCAAGTGTAAAACATGTATCATTATGAAAGAGATCAACATATCTAGATATAGAGGAACATACTTGATCCTTGACCTCAGTAACTGCACCTTTCTCCCTCCAGTCAAAATCTGTGGGCAATCCCTCAACTTCTACCATGGGTGCCTCCGCTCCAACCGTACCGCCACGGCGGCCGCCAACATCGACTACTCCGACTACTCCAGTGTACATCCTCGTGAACTCCTCTTCCGTTAGGTCAGAGAACCGCGTGACACCGTGGACGGCAGTGGGGTCCAACATCTGGTGCTCGGCCGCCTTGAGGACGTTTTTAGCAAATATACCGAGGCGATGCACGTACTCCTCCCGCGTGGAGTAGCTCTTGCCGTAGTCCGACATGAAAACCCGGAATTTGGTCTCCGTGTGTGTCCCAAGGAGATTGGAAAGTCGATCATCTGTGACTTGGCGTATGGTGAGGTCTTCCAAGGAAGCTGCCCCATGGCAGTAGAAGATGGCGCATGTTATGAAGAGTGCTAAGGTTTTAGCCACCATGATTGCTCTTTATCGATGGTTCTTGTTTTGAGGCGGCCTTAATTAATCTCTAGGAGAGTCGATGGTTTAAATAGAGTGTGTGTGATTATATGAGTTTGATGAGGTCACGAATCACGAAAGTGTTGGAGTTACATGCAGATAGGAGACACGTGGGATGTTTGCATGTTGAGTTACATAGTGAACCTGCATGACGCGTGGCTCTCTTTTGTCTCTTGATCAGTTTTGAGTATTTGGTACCGAGCTTGCATTAATGCTTCCAATCTGTTGTAAATGCGTCGACAAAAATTTAACCGGTTAAGTTTAGATTCGAGAGGAGTGGCGTATTTCAGTGATCACATTGCGCCTCCTAATTAATTGCTGGAACCTCAGCTCTATAGAGATCCCATCAGTTACATAAAAAGAAAATCGTAAAGCTCTCTTTTAAGAATCTAGATCTGCGAAACTCAATCAAAACTCATAAATAAAAGTGATTGAGCTTGATCACCCAAAAAAAAAATGAATTGTGTCATGGCTAGGAAATTATCTGGTGTAGAGTGTAGACTAATAATATATTTTTATTGAAAATGGCTTCAGACTAAATATATCTTAGAAACAATTAATTCTTATTAGATTTAATAGTGATACTAGTTTAAATGAATTTGTAAAATATTTATATTAATCCGCAACATTACAAAATTCATATTACTTTTAGCTACTTTCAAACATATGAGATTGCGGCATGAGAACATAATTTCATAAATTTCAAAATGTTGACAACCATTCACTCATTGAATTCACAATTGATATTCTTTTAAAATTATATCCTTTTTAAAAACTGTGTTTTGTTTTGTATTATGCGGTATGAGAACAATATTTCATAAATTTCAAAATGTTGACAATCATACAATCATGGAAATCACAATTTATATTTAATTGTTAGCAAAAAATATTCTTTAGCTGTTTTATGTAATTCTGAATTTTAATATAAAAAAATTAGAAGAAGTTTTCGGTTTTCAGTTTGTTGTTAAAAAAGTACTTTATTGTATTATTTGTATTTTCTTGGTGATCAAAGAATTCTATAAAATTATTATTAAATATTTATCACAAGCTTATATTATTTGTCGTCTAAAAAATGATTCTTTTTTTTTTAAATGACACTGCATGCTAATTGAAAATAAAAAATAAAATTTGACTCAGATAAAAAACAATGATTTTACCAAAGTTAAATATCAATAAATGAATAAATTACAGTAAATCTTTTTGAAAATGGTTAAAAATACATGTCCGCAAATTTGATCTCCTCCTTCATCCTCGACATCATTTTCTCTCGGTTTCTGGCTTTGCCTGAGCAATCTTCCACAATCCTGTTTTGCCCTAATGCTTCTCCATCTCCGATCTCCGATCTCTCGTCCATTCATCGCTTTTGAGGTAACACATTTCTTCATCCTCTCTGCAATCTATTCTTGGTGAACGAACAAAAACAATCTCATTTTTTACCAAAAAAAAAACAATCTCATTTCCTCTCACAACGAATCTTCTTTTTCTTTATAGGATTTTTTATCGATCCACTCTACAACGAACAGAAAAGTTTGCATTTTTAAACAAAAATCCAAAGATGTTCAACAAAATCATGAAGCTGGGCCAGAAGAAATTCAACAAATCAGATCAACACCACCAAGATAACAACCCCAGCAACAACGTCGTTCGCGGCAGCCGCACCGCAACCGCCGCTGCGTCTTCAGCGTCGAATGGCGAATCTCAGACGGCGGCTCCGTCACCTTCGCAGACGCCGAATCACCCAATGTTCACATCAACACCGACCCTCGAAGTACTTCCATTGTTAAAAGACGTTTCTTCCTCAGATCGGCCTCTCCTCTTCATGAAGAAGGCTCACATGTGTTCTTGCCAATGCGATTTCTCTGATTCATTGATAATGCCGCGCGAGAAAGAGATCAAGAGGCAGACCCTTCTCGAACTGGTCGATTTCCTTCACTCCTCGTCAGGTAAAGTCAATGAGACGATGCAGAGCGAGCTCATAAGAATGGTTTCCGCTAACATTTTCCGGTGTCTCCCACCGGCACACCATGAGAACACAGGAGCTCCTCCTGAAGGGAATGATCCTGAGGAGGAAGAGCCTTATCTTGAGCCATGGTGGCCTCATTTGCAGCTCGTCTACGAGCTTCTTTTGCGGTATGTAGTGTCTTCAGAAATCGAGCCCAAGACTGCGAAAAAATTCATCAATCACACCTTTGTGTCGAGGTTGCTTGATCTGTTTGACTCAGAGGATCCTAGGGAGAGGGAATACTTGAAAACTGTTCTTCACAGAATCTATGGGAAGTTCATATTTCACCGTCCGTTTATCAGGTGCTCCATTTACAACATTTTCTACAAGTTCTTGTATGAGACTGAGAGGTGCATTGGGATAGGAGAGTTGTTGGAGATTCTAGGAAGTGTGATCAATGGATTTACAGTGCCAATGAGAGAGGAGCATAGGTTGTATCTTGTGAAAGCCATTTTGCCATTACACAAGTCTAAAGGAATCTCGATTTACCACCAGCAGTTGGCGTATTGCGTAACGCAGTTTGTGGAGAAAGATTACAAATTGGCTGATACTGTGATCCGTGGGTTGTTGAAGTATTGGCCGCTTACGAATTGTCAAAAGGAAGTTCTCTTCTTGGGAGAGTTGGAAGAGGTCTTGGATGCTACAGAGCCTTCTGAGTTTCAGCAATGTGTTGTTCCTCTGTTTACACAGATTGGGAAATGTCTTAATAGTGCCCACTTCCAGGTTCGTCTCTCAGCCTCGTATGTGTCTTTTGAGTTGAGAACTTAGTAACATTGTCATAGATACACCAAGTCTTTAGAAATTTGAGTTGTGGAGTGTAATATGTTGATAGAGAGATGTGAGGAATGCAGGTGGCAGAGAGAGCTCTTTTCTTGTGGAACAATGAACATATCGTAGGCCTGATTGCTCAGAACAAAGACGTGATCTTCCCGATAATATTTGAAGCATTGGAGAGGAACATGAAAGGACACTGGAACCAAGCGGTGCACGGTCTCTCTGAGAATGTCAGAAGAATGTTTATGGAAATGGACACTGAGCTATTTGAAGAGTGCGAGAAACAACATCCAGAGAACGAAGCTAAGGCTTGCGAGTTATTGGAACAAAGAGAATTGACATGGAAAAGACTTGAAGAAGCTGCTTCGTTAGCTGCAAATTAAAGCCCATTTGATGATGGCTTTTTTTAGCTATCTTCCTTTTGCAAGAGTTGTGTTTTTAGAAACTCTCTAATAATTTATTTATTTGTTTGTTCTTTTTTTTTTTTTTTTTTTATATCTGTTTTGATCCCTTGTAAATGGCGACCGGGAATATGGATCACACCTCGCCGACCAGATCATGTCATAGAAGGTATAATTTAGTACTCTTCGTTGCAGCTTCTGCAAAACATGGTAAAGCATAGGTGATTTACAAGCATAGTTGATAACAATTTGATTAAATGAAAAAAATTAAATGTTCTAGACGATGAACTAATAGTCTAATACTAATTCCAACCTGTTAAACTCTATCAGTTTGCTACATTTTTGCTTAAATTCATCACATCAAAAGATGTAACATTTTCATCTTTCTGTTCCCACACTATCTTGTTGTCATTTTTAACGTAATTTTGGAGTAACAGAAAGATAGTGAAGTAACAGAAAGATGAAAATTTTAACATCTTGAGGTGATGAACCATTGTCCATTGCATTTGATTTGATGAGACAAACTTTGTCTTGGACGTTGCTTTCACATTCTCATTTTCGGTTTAGGTTTTGTAGTGCTGTGAACCCCAAAAAAAAAAAAGAATAGAAGAAGGAAAAATAAAAATAATAATGAAGAGCTACTTTACACCAAAAACCAATCAATTTGAAGGGTCCAAATCCTATTTGTTATCCCTTGCGGCCTACCACAATAATAGAGTTGATGATGACAAAATACAAATCATTAACAAAGAAAAAAATAACGTTAAACGTGGTCGAGGAGGCGGTGCGTTGCTACCGAATACCATCCCAAAGAAATCATCACTGTTGCTGCTGCTGCTTCCTCTCGTCGTACCGCCCATCGCGCTCGTCCCTCCACCGCTGATAACGCCGCCGCCGCCACCCTCGCCGCCTCCTCCTCCATACCCAGTATAAGTATCGCCACTCTGACCTTCATCATCCCTGTCAAAAATAAACGTTTCATTAGAAGAAAGTATGCCTAATAAAATCGACCATACATATATGCTAAATCCAAGCATCAAAGATAGAAAAGAAAAAGTCAAAAGGGTCATTAATGCGATTTAAAATAGGGTCCATAGCAAAAAAGGAATCATCTTTTTCTACGTAGGGGGTCCCTTCTCTTTAAACAGCATTTTCTATCATATAACTCCCAAAATACATTAACTTTTTTTCTTTCGTAAAATTGACTAGGGGACAAGTAATTAACAACTGATGTATCAAAAATGTAGATCAATCATACATATATCTTAACTAAAATCATGACAGACATTTCGACCGTCCATATTCCCAAATGGACAGAGAAAACTTGACAGAGCAAGTAGATTATAAAGTGTAAATAATAAAAAAATGCAAAAAAGAAATGGGCAAGTGGGGGTTTATTTCAGACACTAGTCAAGTTGGTCGGTTCCCCAGGAAGACGATCACGTGCCTCTACTTGAATTCTGGAATACTTCCAAATTCTAACGTCTGATATTCTCAATGAGCTCATTTTTATACATTATTAATTTTCAAGTATTTTTTTGTTTATACCCGTAATTATATACGGACGCGTCTCTGTTTGAAGAATAATGGAACATCAAATGTAAGTAATTTATAGAAAAAGCTCAAGAAAAAAAAGAAAGGACAAGTTTTTATCCTACTATTTTAGTAAAGGTTGATTAAATAGAAAGGCCTTTCCAAAAGATCACAAATTAACTCGACCTAGACAATATCTACAACCATGATTATTAATGTGCACAAACTCAATAGATAAACAAGATTCTAAAAAAAAGGTACTAAAAAATAAGATTGTTTAGTTCTTGACGTCGTTAGCAAATCATGCCCTAATCACGCGCTTTCACAGCTAATCGATCATGCATCACTTTTTAAAAATGTTGGCTCATACTGAGTAAAAAAAAGAGTACCTGGGACCGCCAAAAACGCCAGCGTTTCGAGTGAGCTGGTCAACTTGAGCAGCAGCTTTAGGCTCCAAACTCGAAGCTTTAGAGTACATTGAGCTCATTTCTTGACCAGACGCCACAAAGAAAGCTCCGTTCTCCATCAGATCTCCTTCCGTTCTCCAATTCCAATTCGCCCACTCACCATCGTCCTTCGAATCCACTCGCTTCGTCACCTGCTTTCAAAGTTCCACATTTAGCAATCTGTTTTTCACGCGCCGTCATGGCGAGTGGTCTTAAAAAGGCTAATTTAACCACAAAAATTAAAAAAGGTCTGTGTGGACAGAGAGAAGCAGCCCACATGGCTGGCATGCACTATACACATACCATCACTGTCTCACACCTCCTAGACCCAATAAAATAAGATTCTTTTTCTATGTGCATGAATAGATAATTAGATATATTTTCATCACATATAAATTTAACATTGTGATATTTTCCAGATATTTTACGCTTAGCAAAAGATTAACAACTGTCCATGTGAAAGATGAACTGGATTCATAGAATCTTTACCCAGCGAAATTCGACGAATCAAAACTCTTCACTAGTCAATTACTCGAAAGAAATGCTAATTGGCCACTCAAAAGTTGGACCGCTATGGTAAAAAGCCTAAAATCTCTGGCACAAAACAAACTAAAACCCTAAAAAGTAATTGAATCAATTAAAACAAAAAAAAGAGAAGATTTTCGGAAATGGGTAATTCAAATTAGTAAGAATCAAGAAGGAAAGTTTCTAAATTTTTACCTCTTTGGCGCTAGGATCAGAAGGAGCAGCGTAACGATTCCCTTGACTGTTAATGGTGGGATTACCACTACCACCAATAGCATACATCTTCCAAGAAGTGAAATCATTGTTGACGACATGAATATAGCCTCTCCGACACCTCGGCATCCTCTGAACAAGCCCTGACCAAAATGATTAAACGCAAATCGTCACCCTGCATCCCAGTATCCGGCGAGTAGTTGTCGTCGTGACCCAACAGCATAACCTCGTCGTGGTGCGTGAAGTAATTGTTCGATATGGTAATCGCCGTTGAACCCATCACCGCGTCGATAAGCCCGTCAGTGCAATGGCTCATGGAGCAATGGTCGATCCAGATCTTCTGAGATCCGAAAATGGAGATCCCGTCACCGTCGGATCTACCTCGTTTCCCGGCTTTCGTAGGACTTGCGGCGACGATGGCTCCTCCGGAAGGTTTACAGTCGTAGATGTGGATGTTGTGGATGATGACGTGTTGCACGTATTGGATTGTTAAGCAGCCGTTTCCGGTGATGTGTACGGCGGATCCGCGTCCGTCTATGGTCTTGTAGCTGTTGATTATAAGCTCTTGTTTAAGCTTGATGAGCATGTTTGAGGAGAAGACGATCCAGAGTGGCTCTTCTTGGATTGTGGCGTAACGGAGTGTGCCTTGAGTTGGGTTTGCTGGGTTGTTGTCGGAGGAGTCTGTTACGACGTAGATCCGGCCGTTTTTGCCTCCGAGTGTGCCGCGACCGAAGCCGATTGAGCAGTCGGCGAGTCTTTGCCGGTTGGATGACCAGTCGGAGGTGTCGCATCGCCAGCAATCGTCGATTGGGTTTCCGGTTCGGCAAGTGGACGATGACGATGACGATGAGCTGAGTTGTCTCCGCGAGAGGGATGCATTGATTTGACTGTGAGGATGGAGTAAAGTAAGAAGAGAGTTTTGAGAATTTTGCTATGGATTAAAATGTGGAAACTTTTTACCTTAAGACATGGAGAGAGACGGAATCAGGGGAAGGGTGTTGGTGAGGGAGAGTGAGATTTAGGGATTTAGTGGATTCGAGAAGTGTGAAGAAGAGGCAGAGCAGGAGAATGGTGTTGGAGAAGTTAGGAGGAAGCATCGTTAATGGCGGATTGTGACTTGGTGTGCTTGATGTTGGCCGTGAGGATGGATTTTATTTTATTTGTCTCGCTGGAAGGAAGCAGAGCATTGGTATGGAAAGTTGAAGATAGTGAGTGTCAGAAGAAGAATGTTGGTTGAGAAATGTGAGGAAATAGAAGCAGAGAAGGATTTGGAATCCACATGTGAGAGAGCTTTGAAGATGATGAAGAAGAAGAAGCTGCTCTCTCTCTCTCTCTGCCTCTACCCTCTGCTGGAAACAAGGCTTATAGGTTTTCTTCTTGCGCTTTTGATTTTGTGTCTCTCTCTTGGGAATTTGTGTCCTCTAATCTGTTTTGGCATGGAGATTGATTAGACTTTGGGTCTCATATTTGGTAAGCAAGGTTATATTACTATTGGGCCTATCAGGCCCAGTTCACATTTTTGATGAACTAGTTGGAAAAAGAGTTTTTTTTTAACATGAACGCTCAGCCCATAATCAGGCCTAGGAACATGTCCACCAGAGATTTAGAGCAGCTACTGTAATCAAATTGAAGCCGAACGGTTTGCTGAGTGGTGAGTGTTTCCGATGCTCAGCGATTCCGATACCTTTTGATAAACTAACTCCTTCATCTTCCTTTTCGATTCAAGCTTTAACGAGTCTGTCTCAGCTTCAACAAATGCTTTCGCAGTCCTTTGGGCACTTCCGGCTTATCTTCTGATTCTGGTTCCCGAGCCTCCAACACTGAAATTCACAGGACAAAGACTCTCATCACCTAAAAATCCAGCCTTTTCTAAGGTTTTTTTTCCTATTCCTCTTTGTCTCTGTGTGTTTCACTTGTTACTAATTCGTTTGGCTGGCTTTTTGAGTGTTTTCTTGTGTTTTTTTTTTTCTTTCTATTGTCAGGGTGGGAAAAGTGGAAGACAAAACCCATTTTTTGTCGACGGTAACAAGAGGTATCTTGGGGTTTTTAAAGTTATGGACAGAATCAGTGGGTTATCTGATGAATTGCTTATTAAGATACTATTGTTTGTTCCGACAAAAGTTGCTGTATCCACTAGCATTTTGTCGAAACGATGGGAGTATCTTTGGATGTGGTTGCCTAAACTTGATTACGGTCCTAATCATTTTTCACGCTCTGATTGCAAGAGGTTGAGGTGTTTTCTTGACAGAAATCTGCCATTACATAGAGCTCCTGTTATAGAAAGCTTTCGTTTTAAATTATATGGCTCTTATATTAGACCTGAGAGTATCAAGCTGTGGGTTGTACTAGCAATTTCTCACTGCTTACGTGAGCTGGAGATTATCTATGAGTCTAATCGGGATAAGCAAACCATATTGCCAAGTAACCTGTATAGCTGCAAATCGCTCGTGATCTTGAAACTCGATGGCACTATTCTATTGGATGTCCCTCGAACGGTTTTTCTTCCCTCTCTGAAGACTTTGCAACTTCAAGATGTGAAATACTTCAATGATGAATCTATTCAACGGCTTCTATCTAATTGCCCAGTTCTCGAAGCCTTGTCGGTGAGTTTGCGTGAGGAAGAGAGTATGGAAGAGTTAACTATTGTTTCCCCATCTTTGCAGAGTTTATCAATCTATATCCCCCATGATCTTGATATATTGGGGATTGAGATAAAAACTCCTTCTTTAACGTATCTTAAACTTGACGATCAGAATCAAGATAATCTCTACTGTTTCATTGAGGAAATGCCTAACCTGATCGAGGCATATGTAGATTTTAATTTCACTGACATCAAGAGTCTCATTGGATCGATCACATCTGTCAAGCGTCTTGCAATATGTTCACAGGTAATCATTTTCCATTTGTCTACTCATTTTTTTTATAATCATTTGCTAATAATTTTTAATATTGTGCCCAGGCTATGTATGATGAAAGTTTTGTCTTCACCCAACTTGAACATCTTGAGCTATGTACTTGCAAAGAGGTTTCGCCTGATCTACTTGTCCGGCTGCTCAAAGATTCTTCTAACTTACAAGGACTAGACCTTTTCTGCATTGAAGTAAGTTTGTTAAACTATTTTTTTCTTTTTGTCGGAAGCACAATATGGTTTTAGTCTAATGCTTCTTTTTGATCGCAGAGTCATTCATTTGGTAATATGGTTAACTGGAATAAACCAAGTACTGTTCCTAAATGTATTTTGTCGAGTCTACAAACTTTCAACTTCTTGGAATACATAGGAGCACCAAAGGAGAGAGATCTTGTAGTCTATATCTTGCAAAATGCTCTCCACTTAAAGACTGCAGCAATCACGTCTTGTAAATATGACGTTCCAAGATTTGAGATGTTAAAGGAGTTGGCACTCTCTTCTAGAGCTTCAGCAACATGCCAACTCATGTTTGATTGAGCATTTTGATCATTGAAATTTGGCTTGTTCTTCTATGTGCTCTCGGTCTCGCATGGTTTTTCATTAACTCTGAAAACTTGTTTTGGAGAACAAACTTTTTTCTGTATGTTTTGTTGTTCTACTGAAAAAACATATTTATGTTGTCTGGATCTAAGTTATATGTTAAAGTTTTAAAATTTTTGATGGTGTATATAATAGACGACAGCACTACTAGTGGCTAAGTGCTGTTTGGCAACAGGGTTTATTCTACTACAGTATTCTCGTTTGTATGTGTTTTGTGGCTCATAAATTCAATCACTTATCACACTTTCAATAACCCAATTCCAAATCTTAAAATCTCCACGAAAATGGCTCTCCGATCTGTAAAAACGCCGACTTTGGTAACTCCGGCCGGCGTCGTCTCCTCCTCAACTGTCAACAAGCCTCAATCTTTCAGATTCGCCTCCAAACCGACGGCAACACTCGCCATCCACAACCGCCATCTATCAATCTACGGCATCAATTCGAATCTCAAACTCAAGCCAGCTTCTTCCGCCGCAAAATTCCGGTGCTCGGCGTCGGCGCTTACGCCGCAGCTCAGAGATACGCTGGAAAAGCTGGTGAATTCGAATAAAGTGGTACTTTTCATGAAAGGAACGAGGGATTTCCCGATGTGCGGGTTCTCAAACACGGTGGTGCAGATCCTGAAGAATCTGAACGTGCCTTTCGAAGACGTGAACATTCTGGAGAACGAGATGCTTAGGCAGGGACTTAAAGAGTACTCGAATTGGCCGACTTTCCCTCAGCTTTACATCGGCGGTGAGTTTTTCGGTGGTTGTGATATCACTCTTGAGGCGTTTCAGAGTGGGGAATTGCAGGAAGTGGTGGAAAGAGCGATTTGTTCTTGATGCTGATCAAAATACGATTTCATTGTTGTTGATGCCTTTGGATTTTGTTACTGGTAAACAAAAAGGTCTTGTGAGTTTATGATGGCTGTAACATAAAGAGACCATATTTGTATGATGGATTTAGCTATGGAAACACTTACATCATGATCTCGATTCTCCTTGTGGATTTGATCCTTTTGACATCATGTGCCTTCTTTTTCCATATGTTTGGTCTTTACCCTTTTGTGTTGTTGAGATGTTCATGTGTAAAGATTACTCCTTTGAACATTCTCCAGTATCTTTCTTGAGTAGTACTCTTAAGACGTTTGTCTCTGTTAAGAGATTAAGTTCCAAGGATTCTGACTAATTCACTGCTACAATGTCTCTTGTAATTGATGCTGGTCTGTGCTTCTCTCGGACCTCTGTTTATCAAAAACCCACCCGAGTTTAGAGAAGGGATGATCATATGCAGAAAATGTTGGTACTCATCAAGAAAAGCAATCTGGTCCAGTGTATGTAAAATCATCAAGTCATGGTAACAGACCTCCAGCTGCAAACAGGTCTGAAAAGAGGTGACTAGAAGGCTGATTTATCAAAACCGATTTAACATTCAATACAGGATATAGTCTATATTAAGAAGATCCTCATCCTAGCAACTTTTTTTATATCTAATGTCATTTCAGAATCCTCTATGATGTTTCCTGAATTGCAATTTTTATTTTTTTTGGTTTGTCTTTCTATGATAGAACAAACAATGCATCCCGATTTTTGAAAGGTAGAAACATTATACTGGATTTAGGCAGTTTTGAAAAATTTAAGTTTATTTGGTGAGTAGTAAGGGAAGACCACAAAAAATCTGACCAAGAGATGTCCTGTGATGATATGTGTAGTTTGTATATACCATTTTTTATTGGCTCCCTCAAATTTATCTTTGCCGTGGATAAATGGCAAAAAGGTAATTATAGATTCGGCCTTTATCTAAAACCACAAAGAGCAGATAGAGAGAAAGAACATGATATATAGAGAATACACGTGGCCCAATGAAATAGCCACGCGGGCTCTCTCTAGCCAATTGCAATCTGATTTTAGATTCGCATCCTACAAAACCTTACTTAAACGATCACTCTTCCATACTGACACTTCCAAACACCTCTTGTTCACATCTTTCTCTTTGTGGTAAACAGAAAGGGAGAGAGAGAGAGAGAGATAGAAGACAATGGCGTCGAACTCGCTCATGAGCTGCGGCATCGCCGCCGTTTACCCTTCGCTTCTTTCTTCTTCAAAGTCTAAATTCGTCTCCGCCGGAGTTCCTCTCCCCAACGCCGGGAACGTCGGCCGAATCAGAATGGCCGCTCACTGGATGCCCGGAGAGCCACGACCAGCTTACCTCGACGGTTCTGCTCCTGGGTACGCAAAATCACTTCTCTCGACTCTGTTTCTTTGCTCAAAATTTTGAGACTTTCACAGTCGCTGTCAATGTTGCTCAATTGATTAGATTAGATGTGTCAAAAGAATTGAAACTACTCTTGATGAGACTAAGGGTTTTGATTGCTACATTGGTGGATGTTTAAAGTTTCAGTTTTTTAGCTATTGGGTATACTACACATCGCATGATTAGACATTTCTGAAATTCGTCTCCTTTTACTCTGTTTCTTACATACTATGAAGCCCCTTAGATGTGTGTCTAGAGAGAGAATTGATTGAAACCCTTTTTGATGACATAGAGGTTCCGATTTTAAGCTCTGAAGCTGTTTGAAAAGCTTCAATTTTTTAAGCTATTGGGTACAAAAATGTGCAGTGACTTTGGATTTGACCCACTTGGACTTGGAGAGGTTCCAGAGAACCTTGAGCGATACAAAGAATCAGAGCTCATCCACTGTAGATGGGCCATGCTCGCTGTTGTAAGTTTCATCAACAGTTACTCACTTCAATGTACCCAATCAAAGGGTTTTTAGTCTTTTAAGTTATGATCTAATGGCAAAAATGGTTAATGATCTGGTGTGAATTGTGTAGCCAGGGATTTTGGTACCAGAGGCTTTGGGATATGGAAACTGGGTTAAGGCTCAAGAATGGGCAGCATTACCTGGAGGACAAGCCACTTACTTGGGGAACCCTGTCCCATGGGGTACTTTGCCCACAATCTTGGCCATAGAGTTCTTGGCTATTGCATTTGTCGAGCACCAGAGAAGTATGGAGAAAGACCCCGAGAAAAAGAAGTACCCGGGAGGCGCATTTGACCCTCTTGGATACTCCAAAGACCCGAAGAAGTTCGAGGAGTTGAAAGTTAAGGAGATCAAGAACGGTATACAAACACATAACATATCTTCCCTTTCTTGATCATTTTTTTAGTAAAATGTAATATCTAATGTTATGTGTTTTTTGGTTGGTATGTTAGGGCGGCTTGCGTTGTTGGCCTTTGTAGGATTCTGTGTGCAACAATCTGCCTACCCAGGCACAGGACCATTGGAGAACCTTGCTACTCACTTGGCGGATCCATGGCACAAAAACATTGGCGATATTGTTATCCCTTTGAACTAGTGACTGTAAAAAAAAAAGAAAATTAGCAATATATCCTGTGAGCTTTATGTGTAATCAAAACTCTGTGTAATGAAAGACAGATTGTGAAACCTGTATTTTGCCTCTGTGATTGATTTGGTCTTGTGAGCTTGAATTCTAAGTGATTAAACCTTTTGAATCGGGTTACGAACCCAAATGTGGCCAACTTGTAATATTTGTATTTAGATTAAAAATCTGATGGTTCTTTGAAACAAAATTTACATCATTTTGTAGAGCTCCAAAAAATTTTGAGAAAAAAACAACACAAATTTGCATCATTTTGATTTTAGGAACGCAATGAATGGATAAGTTATCGACTTTGAGCTTTATTCTCCCATTACAGAAGAAACATTGAAGGTGTTGTTAGTTCATGACTTTTACTTAGATTTTTTCAACTCCATCCAAAATAACTTTTGTTTATACATGACATTAAGATTACACACTATTTTTTTTTTGTTTTATCATTTTAGATACTGAGTCATTTGAGTTTTAGCTACTTGTTAAATGACTAAAACAGATTATAGAATGATTTTACCCATCTTTTACTGATGTTAAACAGATAATATACAAACATGTGTCAAAATGATGTGATAAAATATTGTTACAAATATAAATTCTATAATAACATGTGACAGAATTTCATCATTTCTCTACCCATATAGTAAAAGATGATATTATCTTGCCTAATCACATCCACGTAGGATTGAGAGAGATAGTTGTGCTACTGTTATTTGTTTTGTCAGATGCGTGGGGCTTGCTGCTTTAATTTTCTTTCTCATTGACCCAAAGATAGATCTGGATAGTGGATATATTGATTTATTTACTCATCTACCAACAAAGTAAACACTTATTTATTTTTTTAATCCTATTTTTGGCTATTATTCTTTTTAAAATTTATTTTTAGTTGATTTTTCATTGACCCAAGATCTTAATTGTTTCCTTACATATCAACCTAAAAGAAAACAAAAATGCAGTTTTAATCCTCCCACCAAAATTTCCGCTCATACTTCTGCATTAAGGTAAATCCTCTTTCCTCTTGTCTTCTTATCTAAATTTTTCTCATTCCATCACGAGTTTTAGTTTCTCTTTATGAAAATATCTGGATCTTGAATGCATCTGATCTGTTCCTTAAATTTTAGATCTTTGCATAAACACCTCACCGGAATTGCCATTTCTTCCAATATTCTTCTTAAGGAGATAGAAGAAGCTCTGCTATTGAAAAATCTCATTCTTTCTTTTATTTTTTTGTTGCTATATAGATGAAGGTTTGTTTTAAACGCAATGTGATAAAAGGAATAACTTTTTTTTTGTTCCTGTTGCAATGAGTTTGGTGTTTTGTTAAGAAGTGGTTTTTTCTTCCTTAATAATGTATTGCTTTCTGAGAAATCTGTTATTCTTGTTTATTGACTCTTCTAGGTTTTCCACAAGCTGATTGATGAAAATGTCAATGAGGTAAACTAAACCAACCCCTTCTTGTAACAGTTATCATGTTTTTTTGAATTTGGGTTTTAATCCGGTTTAATGTTTGTTTCCTTAGCAGCTTGTGTGGAAACCTTTGATGTTTTGTATAATTCGGGGTTTGTTCGCAAAGGAATGATCATTCGATTGAATGAAAAATGGAGCTTTTTACTGCAAATTCTCTGTCCACCGAAAACAAACCTCTTGAGCTTTCAAAATTGGTCATAGAAGAGAAAAGCTCGGTTAAAAAGAAGAGCGAAAGCACCCTTACACTTGTGAATCATGGTACATTTCACACTTCATCTTTAAGAATATGATTGTCTCCCTATCAGTTTTATAAAAATTCACACTTTGTTTCGAGTGTTGGTTATGTAATATATATCAAGAAAGTAGATCCAAATTGTTTTGTTGACCATACCTCTGCTTTTTAACCACCAGAGATTCTAACTTGTTGGTTCTGTAATTTGAGACTATATGTTCTTGAGCACTATCTATAAGCATCTTTCTTGATTGCAGGTGCAAAGATTTGGCAAGAGAACAGGGAAAAATGGGTGGGAGATCAATCTCGACAAAGAAAAAAAACTACAAAGGATCAGATTATAAGGTATTTTCTTTGTGTTTGCAGTGTTAAATATTCTAGTGAATTAGTACTCTAAAAAGACAATCTTGAATCTCTTGCAGCTGGTCTACTACATATGAAGATCTTCTCTCAACTCATGAACCTTTCTCTGAGTCGATTCCTTTACCCGTAAGCTTAAAATCTAATCCCATTTTCTACAGAGTCAAAGAAGCTAAAATCATTCTCAATACCTGAAATTTATATCCGATATTTATGTAGGAGATGGTGGACTTTCTGGTCGATATTTGGTATGACGAAGGCCTTTACGATTAGACGAATCTAACAACGAACACGGACTAGATTGACAAAGAACAAAGAAGGAGAGACTCAACTATGGTGTGATGAAGTTAAAATATTTAGGAGTTGTCAAAAACATTTACATGCAGGTTCGATGAACTATCTATTTGTTGTATCCATATCTCCATTTTTACAGAAGAAGACAGTGACCACTTACATTCTCCATTTTTAGCAGTTATATGATTGATAAAAAGAGAAGCAACAACGAGTACAAAATGAAGTTTCCAAATAAGATTTTGATTACTTTACAGCAAAATACAATATCAATGAGGAGGTTTAAGTTTGATCATGAATTCCATGTGTCTCAACATTAATCTTACAAAAGAGACTTGGCCATATGAAATTACAATCCAATGGAGTTTTAACTACACATACATTACACAAATGATCTAAGAACATATCCAAACATGAATAAAACTGTTCACAAAAATTATCGACGTTGTAACATCCAACTCTTTTTTTTTTTTGTAAAAATCTTAGCTTCCTCTCCTTAACTGTCGGCATCAATAAATATGCCATCCCAATCACATAGTCAATCTAATGATATTCTGACAGACTCAGCTAAGAATCTGTACCACTCGCCAGTTATGTTATGTACATTTCTCTTTTGTTTTACCTCTTATTCAGCTTGAGAAGTAAGGATTTGATTTGAGTATCTTCTTTGCTAAGCTGCGAATGTCATCTCTACTAGACTCCACTGATATTCTTACAATCTCTGTCACGCTTCCCGTTCTTTTGAAATCATTAGCGTTTTCCTCTGCATCAGAAAGTGTTGATACAAGTATTAGTCAAGTTCCTAGCCACACAAACTTTTGATAAAAGAACTGGTTTACTATACAAGCTTGTGGATGCTCCTGAGAGAGATAGACATGTGAAATCAGCTTCACTCGACCCAACAGAAGCTTACCATTTTGAGCTAAATGGCAAAGCGCAAGCTCGATGTGACGTTGTGTTGATGCAGAGTCAATATGCGAGTTTGAGGTCAGCCATTCAAGAGCACCTTCTTCCAGAAGAAGAGAACGTCCTTTTCTACGCCCTGCGCAATGCATAAGAACCCTCAAGGTATTATAATGATTGATTTACTTGGATGTGCATTTTTTTGAGGCATATTTGTAAGCAACTATAACTACATTACAAACCGTGCATAATTTCTCGAGTTTCACACTTTGCAAAATTTGCCATCCCTCTTGCCACCTGAGCAATGATATCTATGTTTCCGGATTGCGCCATCGTGAGTAGTCCCTTGATGCCCTCCTCTTCTTTTAGCAGCTTAAGAAACTTCTCTGTTTTGTGCAAAACACATCAATGTGTAGAGAGTTAGATACGTGCTTAGCATCACAACACAAAGCTTCTTCAAATATCTTTTATTTTGTGTATGCTATAGAGTGAACACATGAAATAGATATGTTTTAAAATGTCTGATACTGGAAAATGCATTGGAACCAAAAGTCTAAATCTCGTGCTCACCGTTTCCGCATAAATTGGCAAGTGCACCAGCTACCATTCTTAAAGTCTGTGGGTCATCTGTTTTGGTCACCATCTTTGCTAGAAGTTGAGCACCTCCTTTGTTCATTATTAGATCTTGACTCTTCTCTGCGATTGATAAATCAATGAAATCATATAAGTAAACCGAGAAAGTCTTTTCCATGAAATAACCATATAACGGAACGAAATCATATTATTGAAATAATTAATCTAGCATATATAACTTCTAAGTCTAAATTTGCTCTGCTTCTTAGTAGTAATTAATTTTAACTGGATTTATGAATAACAATCCTATCTTAAAAGCACTTGAACCACCAAAAGAAGTGCTCACCGTTCATTGCCAGATTAGCAATTGCACCAGAGGCCACTCTAAGAATTGTTGAATTTTGAGATGACTGCACAAGCATAAGCAAAGCTTCTACACCCCCTTCCTCCACAATCTTCACCTGATTAGATTCTAAAACACATACACACAGAGAATGAAAGTCATTTAGTTACCATGATACATGCTATATAGAGATGAAACCAATATTTCAAAAATTGAGAATCCACTTGTGATAATAGCTATATATAGAGATGTAATCACACACCTTCAGCGGCGAGGTTAGCCACCACTTTAACAGCTTGGATTTGAACTTCCACGTCTTCAGACTTAATTAGGTGTAATATCTTCTGAACTCCAACTGAAATCGAAGTAAAATAAAATAAGTTAATTGAATTATCCTAGAATGAAACGAAATAAAAGAAATGTCTAAGCTTAATGAGCTCAATGCATGCCTTCTTCACAAAGTCTTGCCATGGTAGCTCTCTGACCAGATAGTGACTTTTTTAACCCTTGTGATCTCTGTGAGCCTGTTAGAGCACCAGATTCTGATGATCCTTTTGGGAGATCTTCCTTCATACGCTTGTCCTGTGGAACAAAATGGACTTAGCAAGAACACGAAACACAAATACATGTGAAAAAGGTGAAATAAGCTCATTGTGATTCACCTCAACAACAATTTCACTTTCCCTTAGATTCTTTTTTAGTTTTGAAAGCTCACTTTCCATTTGCTTTCTTTGCTTTTCTTCCAAAAGAAGCCTTTCCTTCATATCCCTAACCTCTTCACCAAGTTTTTCCTATGTAACACAAATTTTACGTATATATTAGAAGAATTCATCAGAGGAAATTAACAGTTAGATGTTTTGAATATGACCAAATTTGAACAAGTATGCAGACGTTTAAGCGTCACACCTTTTGGTGGAGCAGATCATCATAGTCTAATTTCACTGTCTGTAGTTCATCTACTGTTGATTCGTAAATTTGAGTAAGCTCTTCTAATTTTCTCCTGAGTTCGTTTGTCTCTTCATTTTCCTGGACCAAAAAACCATGAAAATAAAAAATTAGAGACATAAATTTCTGCAAAAGCCGAAGTACAAGATACAGTTTTTATAAACAATAAAGGTAAAACAATATTTGAGAGAAAAATAGAGACACATATGTTGACCCTTGGTCAGACTCACCTTAATAAGGTATCATGCTTATTATTGAAATCCAGTATAAGAGATCAGGAATAAGCCTAACCTGTGATAAAACTTGGCGATCGCTTATATTCCTCTTCATTTGTCTAAGTTGTTCCTCTGCAGCGTTAGACCGATCATGTTCATCTTCCAATTTCTTCTGCAGCTCTGCAATTTTAGATTCATACGTGTATGTGGTTTCTGCAAGTTCCCTTTGATATTGATAGTTTCCCATCTCTTGTTCCTATCAACACCAAAACACCATTTAGTTTGAGCAGAAAATATAATGCATTCAAAATGCAGAAAAAGTAAATCTAAGCTTTAACAAATGAAAATGAAAAAAAGAAATATAGGTTTAGTATTCACTAACATGAATAGACTTCTGCTGATTACTCAAAACATTTTTCATTTCCTCTAATTGATGCTCAGCGTTTGTTGACCGAGCTTGTTCATCTTCAACCTTCTGAACCAACTCTGCAATTTTTTTCTCATAGACTTGACTAGCATCTGCAAGTTTTTCCTGATATGCTGAAGTTTCCAGCTGTTGCTGCTACTAACAGTTAAAAGGACATTGTCAGAGCCCATTAACTATACACTGCTCAAAACATTATACTGTAAGTAGTTACTAAGAGAACAAATAACAATATATGAGAGGAAGTGTACCTTGGTATTTTTCAAGTTCATCTCTAACTGTATTGCTTTGTCACGCATTAGATCACACTGATCTTTCTGCAGTTGCAAATCCTTCAAAAGTTCTTTCATACGGAGCTCCAAGCGGCCATTTTCCTTCTCCAGGAACTGTAAGTCATATTCATCCCTCAAAGCATAAGAATATCATAGGCATATCAAGAAACTAGACAATAGTTAAATCAAACACTAAAAAGAAGAGACATATACCTTGGACCTTGTAATTGCGTTCTTTTCTGCTTCAGCGAAAGAGTTTTCACATTCTCTCAATCTCTTCTCCAACTCGTGTTTCTCACTGTTTCTTAGTTTGTTTTGTCTTTCAACTTCTGCAGTAAGATGGTCCACCTGAGTCTCAAGCTTCCGACACAAACTTTCATAATCGAACTCTTCTTTAAGCTTTACCATGTTTACTATTTTCATTGCCTGTAAAGCAAGACATAACCAAGAAGGCATTACTATAAATATTCTCTGAAAGAAATAAGATTGCTAAAATTTCGGAAAGTTGAGTCTTTCTCAGTTTATGATCTTGCTAGATCCCATTGATAAGAGATTCTGCAGAGACTTCATGGAACAGAAAAGAACAGTTTCTATTGATTTAACTGAGGAAAAATAAAAGAAATATGAAGACTGACCCGTTGTCCGAACATTATTGTGCTAGTTGTTTCTGCATGATACCGTGCAGATGGCCCAATTGTTATTATAAGTGAAGTCCTTGCAGAACCTATTTGTTCAGAGCCAAAAACCAATTTCAAAATTTATGTAACAGACATAAGTGTAACTTGGTATATATTTACATAGACATCTAAGTACTGTTATAAATGGCTCAAGAAAATTTTGGCAAACTAACCCCCGAAAGAATCACGAAGAAGCCTTGTTAATTTAGAATCTCTTGTCGGTATATGAGAACTGCCTTCAGCTAATGCATTTATGCATTTTCCCAGGGATGTCAGTGAAAGATTAATGAATTTTGCCTCTTCAATCAAGTGACCATCAGTGCCTTGAAAAAAAAAACAAAAACAGGATATACCTCAATCATAAACTACTTGATATAACATATATGAACAGCGAAGGAGGATTTCAAACCAGATTTATTTATTCTTTCTGAACCAGCAAGATCAACAATTAGAAGTTTGCTCTTTCTAACTCTAGGAATGCCTTTATCTCCCAAAGATTCAGGTTTTGCCTCCTTATCTCGAGATTTAGTTCCCGTTTCAGCCTTTTCATGCATAGCCCGCCTAACGTAAACCTGCAAGGAAGATGCATTTCATTAATCTGCAGGCACAGAACATGGATTCTGTTAATGAACAAGAAACCATAAAGACAAAATATTCTAAGAAATCACACCGTCAGAATTGCATGACTACGTGAAGATTCTGTATTCATCTTTGTATTCGCTGCATGGCGGTTTGCCTCGCCGACTTGCAAAACTTGCAAGAAATGGTCTAAATCTTGAATGTTAACTACGGTGGCGCCTGGTACTGATACTTCCCC